TCATCCTATTTGAGCGTAAAAAAATCCAGTTATCCACTTTAAAATAAAACGTGTTTCACTTTCGCATTTTACCCATTGTATCCATGCATAAAGCATTTGTATTCATTATTTGTATTTTTGTTACGTTAGCGTCATATATTGACGTATTACATATTTATTACATCATTTGGTTTAACATTTTATATACATAATGAGTCTAAAATAAACTACTTCACACTACAAACGTTATGAGTTTTGACCTATAAATCAAAATAGTGCTTGTTCATAAATGATAACAAACCGATTTAATGAAGACAAATGTGCAACCATTTGTGAACATGGATCATAAGTGGAAATTTCAGAATAAAACAATGGAATATTTCAATATACTAAACGAAAAAAAACATTTTTTTTTAAATGTTCTTCACATTTCAACTTAAAATGCACACACTTGAGGCTGAAAAACACTTATGGGGGCTTCAGCGTTGAAACTTCACATTATGACATCTAAAATATCAAGGGAGCAGACAATTTACCCACAAGACTGGTCAGGATTTGGATTTTGCCTTTACAGGAAGAACTGGGAAAGAAAACTCCATTCCATCCTATTGTATTCACTTAACTGCTTAGAAAGTTATATGCATTATCCAAGAACTACAGATTCAGCAGTAACTGAAACAATTAAAGTAAACATACTTGTACTTGCATTTAGTAAAACAGTTCTCCAGGTACAAATTTGGCACTGACATTTTAAACATTGATAAAACCGCTAAAAACTTTGTTTTGCATGTCTCCTTTAAGACATTATGCCAAGTGTTTGAACGCCTAGTATAAACCACAATTGTTCATTAACTAACTATTTAAATAAATGTAACCAATGGCATAACTTCCATTCACAAAAAAAAAGTCGCAAATGTGATAAAAGCGATCAGCAAGCTCATCTTGTTTTCTTGAACAGTTACGAGAAACGCCACAATTACAAAGACCAATAACTTTCTTCTCTAACAAGCACTGAAGAGGCCTAAAATCCAGTTGAAACGGTGAACCTCCTAAACCCCTATTCAAGGAGCCGATTTTTCAGGACTTGAGCTTTCCTGGAAAGAGTGCCCCCATCAAGCTCCATAATCACCTTTTGGACCACTTCAAAGAAATACCTCTGTTGTGGAGGGTAGTCCATGTTTAAGGCATACAGCAGTCCAAAGAGGAGGGCATAAGCCAACGGAACATTGTCCAGTTCTTGGATGACTATTTGGCCTTCCAGGATTATTCCAATGTCATCTGGTTTTGACTGGGCTGCATGTTGTTTGGCAGTGAAGATTCCCACTGTAGTGTTTTCTGTGTAGTCCTCAAAGTCTGCTTCATTGTTTCCCTGCAAAGTAACAAAAAGTTAATACATTAACCAGGATACACTCTTCACAACGTCTATAAAAAAGATGTATAATGTGGTCCGATTAGGTTCATTAGGTCTTCAAATTAATATTGTAGCTATTGTTCCTATCGACAGACCTTAATGTTAGTTTTTTTTTCCTACCTGACGGTTTCGGCTACAACTGTGGCCTTCCTCAGAGGTTGTCACGTGATGCCACAGTTGTAGCCGAAACTTAAAATATTTAATGTGAATTTCAATTATAATTGCATTGTATGTATTCATAACACAGTTCTACGGCTCCCCCCTTGTTGCCTGGCCAAACAGATGCTCCTCCTTTTACTGCCAATCATTTCCCGATTTTACCCATATTAGTCAAATCACGGACCGAGAGACGAAGATGTCACCACACTCTTCCAAAACATTAAAGATGGCGGCATGGCAACTGATATATTGCTTTTTTTTGCTCTTTCGTCCGTTTTAAATCAAATGAAAAAAATTAAGTTTTTGAAAAATCTTTGTGCCGCTTATTTCTGCGTCATATCCAGCGTTTCTCTAATGAATACAGAGCGATGAGAAATGCGTGGTCTAGTTTGTCATAGCTACTAACACGTGCTGCTACATAAACCTTTAAATAGTCTTGTAACTATTTGTTATAGTTATTAATCAAAGCCAACATCTGGTAATATTTATTGTACTCACCACATGCTCTTTTATCAAGATGTCAGGGTCCTCGTTCAGGTACACGCATAATGCCTTCAAAATACACTCCCTTCCAGCATCGACAGCTTCATCACTGTATTCCTGGGTGCATAACAGACCGGCATTAGATCCCAAAATCATACAGTACTACGCACAAAAACACACTTTTTTTTGGGGGGGTTTAGACATAGTTTACTCCCAGCTTTAACAAAATTTCGTCTGATACAGGCCTTTTTTAAAGTTTTTTTTTTATACAGGTTTAATTCTAATTTTTAATCTTGCTTTAGAAAAATAATAATAATTCAAGTTGCAAATACACAGTTCAAAGGAAAGGGGTAATGATATACCGCTTATCAACAGTACTTTAACAATATCTGAATGATAGATGTATGAATGTGCAGTTTGTGTGTGCAGCTGCAAAAGCATAATTTTCTGAAAAGGATCGATAAAGTTTATTTAATATTCAGGCCTGGTGCTATTTGGAAAGTCACCATTTATATGAGGTACCATTTGTGTGTGAACTTTTAAGTAAGAACCACTGATCTATGATCATATGTAAAATATAGTATAATACATACGTTTATACAATATCTAAAAAATGCACTTAAGCAGGTGAAGAAACAACCACTGCAAACAAGATTACTCAAAATGGACGGAACTGAACTAGTGAACCAGGAGTTCAAAATAGTTGGCAAAAATTTATAACGCAATTAAAAGACTCAAAAAGTTGATACATCACAAAGGACACTAGTATTAAACAAAATTTGGTGAAAAAAAGTTAACGACTTCTTACATCAGACATGGTATATATTCATTCAGTTCTGTCATCTTCATTCCAAATTTGACCTCACCCGTCTCATAACAGGGCTAGGCGTTTGTTATAGAGAAAATTTCCAACTGAGAGTGAGGAAACGGGACTGTGAAGATGGATGGTTGTCATTCTCTTGAACTACATCAATAAACTGTCAAACATACAAACACAGTGCATAAACTTATTAATCAGTAATATCACAAAAACCCCCCTCAAACTTTTCATTTATGCATCAGAATACTGATCACAATGATTCTCACGTCCGATCCGCTCACACCACACTGTGTGACATTTGGATTGATAAAAATTATTTATTATAAATAATATATATATATCCGGTCCAAAGAACTCTCATTTTATAAAAATAGTTTATTCTTTAGTTCAAGACCATTATATTTCATTGAGTGTTGCTCACTGAAGGAAATAATATATGAAAGAACCCATATGTAGAAATTATGTTTTAAACAGATAAAGTTCAAATAACTCTTACCTAGAACATTTGCAACAAAAAAGAGTGCTGATATTGAAGAATTATTAAATTTAAGACACAATTGTAGCTTTTTTTTTTACCCTTTTATGTGTTTCCTACATAATTCCCATGTTTTACTTTCATAGATTAATGCCTTCCATGGAAATCACACAAAATAAATAGTGTTGAAAGTTAAAAAAGTGTTTCCAAACACACACACACAGAGAGACAGAGAGAGAACAATAAAAAAACAACATACCTCATACACGCAAACAGCCTGGTCCAACATTACTTTGAATACATGGACCATTGATCATTCCCGTACACCTCATAACTTCATATATTGAGGAAGGTCATGTCCATCTTTGATCTCACAATACTTTTCCATTTCTCTTCTTTATGTCAGCTTGTAATTCTACTCTGATTTATTCCAAACTATTTTCTGTCTCGCCATTGGAAATGGGGGGCATAGTTCACTTCAGAGCGTTTTGTTTTTTTTATTCCAAAGCAGTATATAGCCATTATGGCTTGATTGTGCCAAGTCATTCACAACAACCTCTATGGGCACCCAATCCTCCACACACAGTTGCGTAAGTCGTGCCAGCTTATTCTTACAACTGGTTTTCCATCCTTTCATAACCCAAAAGAGATCTCATTTCTGACAAACAGGATCTTCGACATGAGCGCCTCTCCAACACTGATGAACTGCTTTCGCTACATAAACCGCTATAGCGGACAATCTGTTTTTGATAAGTATTACAAGGATGTTAGATTTGAGTTTGACATCTGGAATGTAGTGTACTTCCATTTTTTCCTATATTCATCATTTCCAGCTCTAGTTTATCTCGCTGTACAATACTAGAACTCCGGACAATGAATTTGATAGGCCAGAAAGTTTTAGAGCCTGTGGGACTGGAATCGGGTGAAGAGACAAATTCTGTGTCCACACATGAAAAGGAAGTTGTGTCATCAGTGGGGTTGATATCGATGGTTTCAGTAAAGAGGCAGGGAATCTGAAGATGAGTCTTAGAACAGATTAATCACTTTAATAGTTCCTCTGATCTGGAGCTCATTTGTGTTTGAAAGATTCAAAAAACACGTTCTCTGAAAGTGGGTCCATAATTTTAGTACGGATATTTACTTCAGCCCACACTGACGTATGACTTCATCGACTAGCTCTCACCACATCCGGAGTCCCATGGAGAGAATCATTCTTGGCTCGTATGTCCAGAAGGCAACTTTAGTAATAAAGGTTTGTGTTCAATCTTTGTCTGCAAAAAAAGTAGAGAGCATTAAACACTCTGAAAAGTAACACATAATACTAGTAATCAAAAAGTGCAGATACGTCCAAGATCTAAACACAAATCAATATCAAAAAATAGTACAGATCCCTGTGGTTCAACCACTACAACGCCACCTTACCCGAGCAAATTTTCCCCATTTACAGCTATACACAAATCCAAAATCTCTTTGACTGACACTTCACAACCATTGGCCTATATGTCTCATTTGTAAAGAGAAGACTTGCAATACTACGACACTTTTTTACTTATTGATCACGGTTATGCACGTTTTGTTGACGAGTATATGTCATGCTATATTAGCTTTTATATCACAATTTAGACCCATTTGTTTCTTTTTTGCGTTACTTTGTGTCATGTCATGTTTTTGTCATGGTATGGGGGGGGGGGGGGGGGGGGTTATATTATGGGGGGGGGGGGGGGGGGGGGTGGGGGGGGGGGGGGGATAAAAGGGGGGGGGGGGGGGGGGGGGGGGGGGGGGGGGGATATATATTGGGGGGGGGGGGGGGGGGGGGGGGGGGGGGGGGGGGGGGGGGGGGGGGGGGGGGGGGGGGGGGGGGGGGGGGGGGGGGGGGGGGGGGGGGGGGGGGGGGGGGGGGGGGGGGGGGGGGGGGGGGGGGGGGGGGGGATATTGGGGGGGGGGGGGGGGGGGGGGGGGGGGGGGGGGGGGGGGGGGGGGGGGGTTGGGGGGGGGGGGGGGGGTTTGGGGGGGTGGTGTGGGTTTGGGGGGGGGGGGGGGGGGGGGGGGGGGGGGGGGGGGGGGGGGGGTGTGGGGGGGGGGGGGGGGGGGGGGGGGGGTATGGGGGGGGGGGGGTGGGGAGGGGTTAGTTGATGGTAGGGGGGGGTTAGGGGGGATGGATGGGGATGAAGGGGGGGAGGAGTTGGGGGGGAGAGGGGAGGTAATAGGGGGATGTTGGTGGGTGGTGGGGGGTATGAATTTATTGTTTTTGGGGGGGGTGGGTGGAGGTTGAGTTTGTTTGTGGGGTGGTGTGTGTTAAGATCTCAGCAAACTCGGGCATGCCACTTGCTGACCCATGTACAACTATCATGCCTACATTGTAAGTTGTGCCACTAACAGAGGCTGTCTTTGTAACATGGACTTCAGTTGTATTTGGGTATTTGGACTTCACTGAATAAAGCAATGTCTTGATTCAAAAGATCAACAGGGAACAAAGATGTGTTGGGTACATCTAAATGTGCTTTACCATAAGATGAAGACGTGAGGTGAAATGCGATCATAAATTGGTGCTTGGAAGCTAGGGTCAGTGGGATGTTTTTAAAACAACTGGTGCGCTTTGCAATCTGCTTGAAATAACTATGCTTAGATTCAAACCTAAGCGTCCACAGATTCACCAAAGGACCAAAACACCTGATCAAGTGAGGGTAATGCTCAATTAGATGGTGCTTAGGCAAGAGTCGATTGCTTGGAAACACTTCCTGGTATCGTTGCCTGTGCTCTGTGATCTTGCTCTCCAGGTAAGCAATGGTTCCGTCTGTATGTTTAGGTGCAACAATGAGTTCAACAATGTCTTTTAAATCCATTAACACTAACCAGGCAGGTTCATTTTGAGGCACAAAATGGCCAATAAAAAAGGGAAGAAGCCTTAGCAAGCACCAATTTTCATGGGCATTGCCCCCTACAGTTTTACGAGCCGCAAAGTTTTGTGGTACGAGGTGAGGCTTATTTGATTTATCTGACCATTTATAAGGGAATGACAAAATCACTTTGTTCAAGTCATTAAGAGTAAAAAAACTTTTTTGAAATCAATGCTGACAAGCAATATGCCAACTCTACAGGCAAGATTCCCTCAAAAGCATCATGAGCCACATCAGGTGGAAAACCTGTCAGAACGTGGAAATGTGCGAGGTGCTTGGTAAAAACACACTCTCGTTTCACTCCAAAAACGTGAGTACCTTTCTCAAGAGCTGTTCTTACATGAACACTATGTTGCTCTTTACTTCGCAGATCAAAAGCACCAGAGGCAACAGTGTGAGAGTCGGCCTCACATCGCTTTGCAGTGCAAAATCGACAAAAAAAGTCAGATGAAAAACTTTCAAGAAAGCCGGCAATGCTATGTGCTCCCAAATTGTCTGCTACAATACTCTGCACTGTACCTTTAACAGAGGAGCCCAACAAAGGCACAAACACACCATCAGTCTCTAAGATTTTAAGATCCTGCAGAAGTGGTTCTAAACACACGCTCATAGCCATATTTTTTTCCATCAACACTTTTAAAGAGTACAGCCAGATAGATAGATGACAATGCTGACTGAGAGCCTGGTGGCAAGTTGCCTAGAACCCAGTACACACCATAGAGCTTGTGTTTTTTTTTGGAGGTGCCCAACGGGTTACACACTTCAAACTCATCCGCATACAGACGAACTGAAATTGTTAATTTTTCTGAATTTAAGAACTCATTTTCAATATAAAACCTGCCATCCTCTGGAGATTTGAATTCATGGGAGGGATCACGAACAAACTCGCGCTTCCCTTGATGATTAGCAAGAATCGTGTCCAAGATAACTTTGCAATTAAGCACTTGCTGTAACAATCTCAATATTGGAATATACTGAAAAGAGGCCTTTTTATCATCTAGCAAGAAAGTCACCGGCTCAACAACACAGAATCTTTCTTTGTAATACTTTAACCGTCTATGTACAGTACTCAGAGACCCTCCTTTCTCAATTGCTATACAAACAGGGTTGGATGAACATAATGCAGTTGTAATATCCTTAAGTAAACTATCTCCAAGTTGGACACTATGTCGCTCAAGAATCTCTTTCACAGCACTACTGGAAACTGAGACTGAAGCAGAGTTTAGTAAATAGTTTAGTTCTTGTAAAAACCCATCAATTGCAATACCTGGCACATGCACCAAATACTCCAGCTGTAGCAAGGCTGTGGCCAGTTGCTGCTCAATGTGGTCGTTTGGTTGTCCTTGTGGATTTAGTACTGCACTAAATAAGTCCTCCTCTACACTTTGTTCCTCTTCCTGGTAATCAAACAGCTCGACATGAGAAGATGAAGGTAACTGATTGGTTGTCACAACACTTGGATTAAAATCCTTTAGTGTATGTGGGGTGTGATGGCGACTTTTGTGTGACTTGAATGTACCATAAATGCATGTTTGAAAGCTGCAACCATTAAACATGCAGCTAACATTTTCAAATTTGTTTAAATGAGTTTTAATATGAATAAAGTATTCTCTTTCATTAGCTATTTTTTTCCTACACAAATGACAGGTAAAGGTATGGAGTTGTTTCAGAGCTAAACTTGTGTGCACCCTACTATGGTGAAGATATAAACTATTTAATGTCTTGAATGTGCAAGGACAAGACCAATAAGTACAGGGAAAACTGACAGTGCGGCCAAACTGTGGATGTTTAAGCTTGTAATGTTTAAGCAGTGCCGACCTACTTGATACTTTCACCCTGCATCCCTTACATTGCCACTGTGAAGAAAAGAAAAAAAAACTTTGATTATTTTTTATCTGCATACAAAAGCCTATTTGATTGCTGTTGCTTAAAGTCAACAGTAAGATGTAAACTACAACTTTTATCTATTCAGACAAATATGATATAATAAGCGCATTACATCTTATAAAAGGCGAGTCAGTCTACATCACCAACTATTATACAAGTGATTGGCTTTTGCACTAACAATAACTGCTCAATATTGTGTTGTTGATTTAAAGAAATATCCTCTACTCACCATTTACTACAGAGCCTTCCCAAAGAGCAAGAAGAATCTATTGCGCTTGATCAAGGGAGACCTAACAACGAGAAAATATGCAATAAACTTGCGTATTACGCATTTCTGTGTTTTTGGACATATCACTGTAATTATTAAGGCTAGGACAATCGTTTTTTCACAGTGTTATACATTTCATACATAATTCCCTGCATTTCAGGGCCAAATTATATTTTCTTTTGTTGTTTCAATCAAGTATTATTACAACGGTATCGATTCAAAAAATAAAAATAAAAAACAGAATACAATAGAAACATTAGTTTGTTGTCTGTAACAGAGTCTGGGTGATTCACCAAACACAGGAAGCAAACATACAGTGCAGCTTTCATGGGATTACCAAAACTGACTTCTTTACCACTCTATAGCTGCAGGCATAACTTTTTATTCAAGTAATTTTTTACTTAAAGTGGACTTCCTGAGCTTGTGTTTCCCATAGGCCCCCCTAGCCCCTCCAGTACCTGTGTCAGCTCCGCCCCAGTTCCTACTCCAGTCTTGTCAGCTGCACCTTGTGCTGTGAATGGAATAGACACACACTTCAAACATCACCCAAGAATTTTTTTTTGACAGGACTACTGTACTAATGCATTGTTGCTTTGATAATGAGGCTCAAGCAGAAGAAATCCTGTGTGGAAAAGGCCGACATTGCTACGTATCGCCGTCCTGTGCATGTGATCGCATTGTTTACTTTTGAACCCACATATCTGGCACAATTCTATCTAACCATAAAACCTAACACACAAGGCCAATTGTTGTCAATATTTAAAAGCTACAATTTACGAGAACACATGTAAACGTTATATTAATTAACTCAAATAAGCCACATTTGTAGTGCAAATTTTAATGGTTGATTGATTTGATTGGCAGTTTATAATCTGGATCATACTCGCTTAGCACAAAACCAAGTTGACTACATTTTGTTTTAGAACGTCAATATCATCACAGTAAAGTGTGGACAGAGACAGTATTCCTATTAAAAACATAAAATCAGGTTCTGTACAACAGAAGACATACTGTCTTCTATTTGAACTAAAATGGTAAAAGGGTATTAAAAATATGATATATAGATTTTAAAGTTGTATTGATGATTTATAGGAATACAGCCAGAATATGCCACCCTATAGCAAATAAACCAAAGATTGGTGTAGGATTTATTCTAGCGACAGTGCGTGGCCAAAAGCTTCAAAATGGTTTGGCATATAGTTCAAATAGTTGTGTAAACTTCTGTTCAGTTTTAGTTTACCAACGTTAACGGTGATTAGCAGAAACCACGTCAGAACACTTACCTGTGAGCAGCCCGAAGTCATGGACAGCTACCCGGTCAGATTAGCCTCAGACACACTATAAAGTAGAGCTATCCGTTAGCTTTATAGCTTAGCTTGTAGATGCACTCACGTTTCAGGCGGTTATTGTCAAATATGAAGGCTACAATCATAGCAAAACTTAGATGAGATTGGTGTGCATAGAGTTGCGCACCGTCTTAGCGTAACTTTGTTGTGCGCAGACTGATCCATTCGCTCTCAGTGGCGCGGGTTAGCAGGTCGACAAGCTTACTGTCGGGTGATACAGGCAGCGGTTCCTCTACCCGGGTGAAGTGAGCGAGTGCGAGGCACACAGCCTGGAGCGGAAGTATAGCTGCAGCCACGGGGAAATTACGTCTTTGGCATAACAGCGCCGGTGAACTTTCTTTTAAAATAATCTTTGCCCTGGCTCATTATACGACCCACAGCCAAAGATTTTCCCTATCATAAGAGAGGTTCGACTCAGGCACTAAAATCGTCACATGTACACCCATCATTATTAGCACTGCGCTGCGCGCATACAGCAAGCACCCTTCTACCACAAGAAAAAAGCTTAGCGTAACATTTCATTTCTTAATCATTACCAACGAGGCAGGCAAGCTACAGCGCAAAGTAGCACTCAGTTTGACTTTGCCCTGATTTAAAAGTCTATGTTGTAAATATGAAGAGATTAAAAATAAATAAAAGTACCTTATGGAAACCGTCAGCGCTCGAAGTTCAAGTCAAGATGGCTGCTGCAGTTTATCTGTAAAAGTTATTTTCCGGGTCAAAAATGAAGG